AATTTTTTTTAAAAATCAATCGTTACTTTTTTTCGTACAAATTGACAATTATATAATATATACGATATTTTTATATTTATACGGTATGTTTTTAAATTTTATTACGATATTATTTTAAGTTGTTTCATTGTATATGACTTTTTTTCTTTTGCTTTTTTCCATCAATTAAGGTTCTTTTTTTCATTTTAATTTTTAGGTTGTTTCATTTTGGTTTCTAAAATTTTAAAATAAAAATTTTAATCCCTTAACCGATGCACTATTCCTGTCTTTTTTTCTTTTGTTTTTTCCGTTAATTTACATTCTTTTTTTATTTAATTAGGTGTTAAAATTTTGAAAAATCAATCGTTACTTTTTCTACACAAACCGACAATTCTATAACACTACTCATGCCTTTTTTTTCCTTGGGGTTTTGCCTTTGCTTTTTTTCATTAATTTATGTTCTTTTATTTATTTATTTAGATGTTAAAATTTTAAAAAATCAATCGTTTTTTTCCACACAAACTGATGATTATATAACATATATAATATTTTTTACATTTATACAATATATTTTTAGATTTTAAAATAAATATAAACTATTCTTATTGTTTAAAATTGATTTTTCGATAAAAACTCTAATCGAGTTAATTTTTATTCTTATTTTTTTTATACTTTTATTTATTAACAACTATGACTTATTTTCTCTATGTATGGATTTGAATAAGTTTTTTTATACCTATTTTTATTTGCTTAATTTTTATATAATCAAAATTTAAAAATTGAATATATTTATTTAATTTTCTTATTTTTTACATAATCAAATTTTATCGAAATCAATTTTATAGTTTTTACTACACTCTATTAACTTCAATATATATTTTATCATTTATTTTTTTAAAAATATTTTTTAATTTATTTTATACATTTTCACCTATTGAGTACGGTCATGATGCATCAAAAATAATAACATTAGAGCCATTGATTTTATTAGAAATCAACTATGCATCTATATACACAATATCAACTATTTGCTATTATTTTTTTAATATTTAAAATGATTTTTTCAAATAAAATAATTGAAATAATATGTTAGAATAATTGCCTAATAATTCAAATACAATTTTGTATACTAATATTATTCATTATTTTTTAAATAAATATATATAAATCAAATGTATATATTTTTTAAAAAATAATCTTATCATTAGTGAAAAAGTTTCATTTGTTAATTTTAATATAAGTTTTTATATTAATTGTTCTTTTATTTCTTCGATGCAATGTAATAAAAAAATATTAAGATGTTTTTTTAATTTTATATTAAAATTTGTTTATTATGGGTTTTATTTAAGAATAAATTCATAAGAAAGAATAAATCATATTTTTTGACTTCAAAATTTGTTCAAAACACACACACACACACACACACACACACACACAAACTTTTGATTAAAAATTATAAAATCAGATAAAATTTTATCTTTTATATTTAATTTAATATATTTTAATTTATCAATAACATAGCATATGTTATCCAACAAAAATAGATATGTTTAGTTCGGTCCGTAGCGTAGCGCGAGAATCCAAACTATTCATATGTCTAAAATTACTATTCACTTACTCGTTCATATGTGTAAAAATACTATTCATGTGAATGCAATTTAAGTAATTTTAGTGTGTCATTTATTGTGTGTTTTTGGGCATCAATATGCAAATTTGACACATTTTTCTATGTTTAGTCCCTCATGTTGTAATATTTTTTTTAATCCTTAGTTTTTATTTTCACACACACACACACACACACACTATATTTTTATATATTTTAAAATTAACATATGCTTCAACTTATATTACTCTTATCATTTAAATTTCAATATTTGAATTTATCATTTTTTATGAAATTCTCATCCAATTAATATTTTTTTTATATAAGATTTCATTTATTGATAAATATAATTTATCTTTCTCTATGCTTGAATTTTAGAATAAAATATTAAAACACGATTTTTTTTCTTTTTTAAAAAATAAATTGGTATAATATATATATATATATATATATATATATATATATATATATATATATAGAGAGAGAGAGAGAGAGAGAGAGAGAGAGAGAGAGAGAGAGAGAGAGAGAGAGAGAGAGAGAGAATTTTTAAATGATAATTGTGCATATATAAATATATCATTATTTTATTCTAAAAGGTTAAAAGTTTATTTCATATAATTTGTCTCACTTCACTAGGTATGGTAAAGACATATAAAAAAACTATTGAATCATTGATTTTATTAAAAATTAACTATACATCTTCCAACATAATACAAATTATTTACTATGAATATTTTTTTAACATTATATAACCAATTTATTTGAAATAAAATAATTAAAATAATTTTTTAAATGAACCAACCAATCATTCAAATATAGTTTTTTATGTTAACTTTTTTGATTATTTTGTAAATAAAAATATATAAATCTAATGCATATACTTGAACAAAATAATCTTCTCACCAAAATTAAATAAGAATAAATTTTTATTTTTTCATTTGTTAATTTTTATGCAAGTCTATTTATTAATTTTAACTTTATTTTTTAGATACATTTTTATAAAAAATAATAATTTTAAAGTATTTGCTTTTGAATTTTTAATTAATATTTCAGGTTTAAATTATTACAAATTTTTATTTAAGAATCCCTGAATAAAGAAGAATAAATCATGTTTTTTTAAGCATAAATTTTATGAAAAGAATAGTAATAGTTAAATAAAAAATAATGAAAGAATTATAAAATTTTTAAATAATTTTGTTCTATTTGCTCGTAGCATTACATGGATAATTTCAAAAACTAATATTCTCATTAGCATTAAATAAGTTTTTTTTTCATTTGTTAATTTTTTTTAAATCTATATATTAATTATAAATTTATTTTTTAGAATAAAATATTATGAAAATTATATTTTGAAAGTTTTTTAAATTGATATTTTAGTTAAAATTATTATATTTTTTAATTTAAAATCAATCCATAAAGTAGAATGATTTATGTTTTTTTTTTAAATAGAAAATTTATAAAAATATTAAAAAAATTAATTAAATAAAAAATTATAATTAAAAAATTTAAAATTTTAAACTCACTTTCTTTCTATATATATATATATATATCGAATTTAGAGTTCACTCACTCCAATTTCATATAAACGACATGTCATGCTCCTTTGTTAGCTGTAGAAGACAGGTCGGCTGTAATTGGAGCCCATCTCGACCGCACTGTAAACTACATTTTAGCCCTTATAAATTCAGACGTATTTTCCTTAAGCTGCTGTAGTTTGAAACGTACCAATATTAACCTTCTATTTTACTTATCAAAAAAATTACAAAAATTGTCCAATTTTACTTATTTCTTTTTTTTTCCTCATTTTTCTTTCTAATCTCCTATTCATATAATAATATTCTCTTTCAAATTTGTTTGATAAAATTTCTTTTACGAAAAAAGTTTTACACGAAGAATTCAACAAGTAACAAAAGCTAATAAAATACTCTCATTAAGATTTAAACATCCTTTGTAAAATCAAAAACTTTTCTATTAGAGAAGTCCAAGTTCTACAACATCCACAACTTAATATATATATATATATATATATATATATATATATATATATATATATATATATATATATATATATATATATATATATATATATATATATATATATATATATATCTTAACCAATAGTCAAATTTCAATACCCATTCAAAACCTTAAAATTTTATTCAAATCACAAATTGCTTACAAACATTAAAAAAAAAAATCAATATTTGTTTATCTTTTACTTTTGGTCAAAAATATATCCGCCACCGTTAAAGTTTATTTAACATCTCATATAAAAAAATAAAATATTTTAGTTCATAAAGAAGAATAATTTTTTTTTTTTTAAATTCAGAATCATTTAAAATTCATGGATTTCAACATGTTTCATGTCTCATTCGATATATCTATAAATTCTATAGTTTTTGTTGTTTCAAGGGTAATTGATAGAGGTTTTCTTATTCTGGTAAAAATCCTTTAAGGAGTTGTATGAGAAATTTTTTTTCTTTTTCTTTTAATTAATAATTCAAATTACTTTGTTGAACATTTGTTTGTCAAGATTTTATAAATTTTCAATAAACTCAAAATTTTAATACTTTATGTAGTTTTGTTTCTAAAAATTTCAAAATAAAAAAGAAACTCTCAACCCAATAATGCATTGGAAGTTATTTTTTTATTTCTAAATTATTATTTAACAATTAAGGTCAACATTTATTTATTTTTAAATTACATTATTATAATATTGATATTAGAAAGGACATACTATATTATTCTATATATGTAATGCTAGAGGTTATATGTAGTAAATATAAGTTCTGTTTATATGAATAATTTTAATGATGTGACGATCAATAAATCAACATATTTTTCTTCCTATTGTAGGTTTATCAATTGATATATCAACATATCTTTTGACCTGGTGGTCAAGATATTGACTCACAGGAGATCATGCTGGTAGATTTGTCGATATGTACATGCTATCGTGGTCTGCATTGGTGTTATAGTGTTGCAAGACCTGCACTCCCTGATCATTAATGTATTAGAAAAAAATTAACTACAGAAATCGGAACAAAATATTTCTGAATCTATAGGGACTAAAATATAACTTAGCTAATTCTTTTTACCGTAATGCGCTTGAGTAGATTCACCAAAAATTTGATTGATTTCATTTTTCCCCTCAATTTCTCTATTTTACGATCTGAATGAATCCGCCTCGATCTACAGCATTGAATCCATAACAGAATCGGTTCTTCTCACAAATTCCGATCTTCAAATGTTATCTGGTAATCGTCGCTTCTTCTATTATTTTCGATTTCCTGTTTGATTCCCGAGAAAATATGAATCTGATGTTTAAACGATATTATTTGCTCTCTCTCTCTCTCTCTCAAAGGCTGCATTCTATCGCTTGTAGATAAGCATTTTTTTCTGTCTGGATTCCGAGAAAATGAAGGAAAAATCAAGCGGAAATTCTATTCATGTATATGCGAAAGAGAAAGTCCTCTAATTTTACTCTCACAAGATGAATTTATCCTTATAGTTGCGAGTAGGTGAATTGCAGTAGATTTTCTGCCTTGATGGATTGGCATTTCAGTTTTTATTTTCTGTTTGGATACCGAGAAAGTGAAGGAAAATCAAGTAGAGTTTACCTATACATGTGTGTGAGAGAGAGACAGAGTCATTTAATATGATCGTACATGATCAACTATTTTTACTCTCGCAAGCTGAGTTTTAGCCTTATAGTTGGGAGTAGGTGAATTTTAGTAGATCTTCTGCGTAGATAGACCAGCATTGCAGTCTTTATTTTGTGTTTGGATTCTGAGAAAGTGAAAGAAAAGCAAGCTGGATGGAGTGGAATGATATGATCATGTAATTATGTGTAGCTAAGAAAGAATATACTGGCAGTCATACTAGTAATGAATATATTAGTAATAATTTTTCCTTTCTAGTTTTGTGGAAATTCTTGCTTTCTCTTTGCTTCCTAGGATAGTATACTAGAATTCGAATTTGAAACAAGATTATTGGAGTCGCTGTTTTTTTTCTGTACTTAAAAATTGAACTCACTTTAGCATTCTAGTTGTGTGTTGGTTCATGTTAGTAGAGTTGCGTTTGTAAATTAGCATTGCATTACATATTTTTCGTTCACTTTCAAGGAAATCGGAGGGAAATCAATAAAGAAAAGCGGAATTCTCCATGTGTGTGTGCAGTTTTCCTAATTTTTCAATTGAATTTAGAGATATAACTACATTTAGGCCTGCAGTGTATTGTCTTTTGCTATCTAGAGATTTTTTTGGGTTTTAACTGAAATTTATGATATTTTTTCCCTTTTTTTTTTTTCAGAAGAATGTTGATATTGCACTCGTATTTATTCATCTTGATCCCAATAATCAATAACAAGAACTGAACAGCAATACCTGGATGCAAATGTTGGCTTTTTTGGGAGTGGGAGTTCTAACAAGGTTAATAAATCTTTGGATGGTCGGAAGGATGAGCTTGTGCCAACACTGAAAGTGCAAACAGATAAAGATGTGTATAGACCTGGTGATTCCGTTCTTATTACTATTGAGATATCTAACCCCAAAGATGGTGCCAGTGAAGATGTTATGTCTTCGCTGTTAATTGAAAAGCTTGGTTTTGAGATTAGAGGTATCCAAAAGTTGGACAGTCAATGGTTTGCCACTCAGAAGCCTTTGCCTGGATCCAAGCAGAGGAGAGGTTTGTATTGTGTTTCTGTAAGGGTTGTGTAACTTTAATAGTCATTTTAGTCAATTCCCCAGTTTATTCCAATATATTCCAATTTTTTTCATTGGTGTTATTGAATGTGTATATGTGATGTTTCCTTTATGAGAAGATAAATGGATTACCTCAAGAATAAACAAGAGCTAAGAGGATGTGTTTTTAAGGGAAAGAAGGGGCTTGAAGCAAATATTCTTGCGATTAGTTTTATTTGGCCGTTGTTTCTTTTTTTAATCTAACAGATTATTCTATCTATCATGCTGGTTTTACTTCCCTCTGGATATATGATGCCTCAAGATAGGATACTGCTGACTAAACTAAAAGCATTTTTGCTACATGAAAGGAAAAAAATTTGAAGGGATTTATCAAACAATTTACTTTCAGTTGCTTGTATTCATTAAACTTAAATGATTTTCAAGCATCACTACCAAGATATCTTTGGCTTTCCCCCGCATCCCATGAAATATTACTGATAGCAGTAACCAATAATTTTTGGGTGTTTTTTGTGTGTCCAGACTTGTGAGATCAATAGAAGTGTTGTTAGCAGAAATAAAAATGAAAAGTAGACCTCTGAATGAACTCTTTTGCTGCAGTGTTTCTCATTTCTCACTTTCAGTAATTTTAGTGGTGATTTTTTTTTATTGACCTCTTTCAGGGGAACATATTTTCATGGACTGCTCTACATCATCAATAGTTTCAAATCAGATTGTGTCCTCTGGTGCGACTAAAACATGTAAGATCTGATCTGATTTTTTATGTTATGGTATCTTTTCATACCTATGTGTGAAAGCTTATCTTATTATACTTATGTTACACATACTTGGTTACTCATCCTTCTCGTTCTTTGACACTTTCAATTGCAATTTCTTAATTTATCTTTTGAGGAGAGTAAAGCAAACTCGTTACGTTGATTGAATGGTTGATGGTTTTTGTGGTCTTTCAATGTTGAACTTGAGTATTTAGTATTTATTTTTTTCTAAATAACATCTAAGTTGCATTTGGTATGGGATGAAAAAATTGGAGGGCAAATGTTGAGGGAGTAAGATCTGAGGTTGAAATGTTAATGGTGTAAGGTGTTAAGGGATGGGATGTTAAGTATGTTTGGTAGGACTCGAAAAAATTATGGGTAATAGTGGGATGCATACTTAATAAATTAGATTTATAGATAATATTAATGGCTTAAGAATTCATAATATGATAAAAAGTATTAAAAGAGTTGTTAATATGTGGAATTATCTTTCTTTCATATATTTTAATGATATATACAAGATACAAGGACATATATATGGTAAATAGATCACATATATATCTATGTGTATATTCCTAATTTAAGGAGAAACTACATGGGAAATATACAGAATAGGAAGTAGGAAAGAATACAGCTCATTCCCGCTAATTCTCCCCCCTTAAGTTGGGGTGTAGATATCACACATGCCCAACTTGGATAGCGAAGTATAGAATGGTTTACTAGCGACAGCATGAGTCATAATGTCAGCCAAGTGATCCAAACTTCTAGTATAAGGAATTTCAATTATGTCAGAATCGAGATTGTCTTTGATATAGTTCTTGTCAAGTTCAACATGCTTAGTTCGATCATGTTGTACTGGATTATTAGCAATCTCAATGGTTGCTTTGTTATCACAAAACAACACTAGGCTTTTTTGGGCCAAATCCAAGTTCCTCTAAGAGAATTTTCAACCAAGAAAGTTCAGTGATTGCATGATGCATAGCACGATATTCAGCTTCTGCACTAGATAATGAAACCACATTTTGTTTTTTACTTCTCCAACTCGCCAAGTTGCCTCCAGCAAACGATAGATATCTGGAAGCAAATTTTCTATCCAGTCTACTACTAGCAAAATCAGTCTATATAACCCACAAAATCAAGATGTCCATGTTTGGAGAATAAAACACCTTTATCTGGAGCTGATTTTAAATAAGCCAGAATTTGGTTCATAGCATTCATGCATTGATCACTTGGATTGTGCATAAACTGACTCACTGCGCTGACTGCATATGCTAAATTCGACCTTGTGTAAGTTAAATAGATTAACTTTCCCGCTATCCTTTGATATCTCTCCTTGTTTGTTGGAATTTGATCAGGGCAAATGGATAGGCCATGATTTACCTCAATAGGAGTATTTATAGGCGCACAAGCAGAGTTACCAGGGAGATCTACATTATACTTCCTTTGGGAAAGAAATAGGCTTTGCTTAGATCGAGAGACTTCAATGCATAGAAAGTATTTGAGAAGCCCCAAATCCTTTTTCTCGAATTCTTTGGTTAAATAGCTTCGAAGTTTCTCAATCTCATCTCTGTTATTACCTATTACAATTATATCATCAAAATAAACAAGAAGCAAGGTAATATCATTATGATCATGTTTACGGAACAAGGTATGATTTGCCAAGGCTTGCTGAATCCATACTCCTTCATTGCATGACTCAATCTCCCAAACCACGCCCTCGGTGATTGCTTTAATCCATACAATGCCTTTTTTAGTTTGCATACCTTTCCTTTTTCCAGTGTCATCCTAAAGGTGGATCCATAAATACTTCCTCTGTCAGATCATCATGAAGGAAAGTATTATTCGCATCAAACTGTTATAGAGGCCAGTCCAAAGTAACTACAAGTTACAGTATGATGTGAACAGTATTCATCTTGGTAACTAGTGCAAAAGTCTCCCGATAGTCAATACCATAGGTTTGGGTATAGTCTTTTGCGACCAGCTTACCCTTGTATCTTTCTATCGTCCCATCCGGCTTGTATTTGACCGTGTACACCCATTTGCACCCCACAGTTTTTTTCCATTGATAACTCGACCATTTCCCAAGTAGACTTCTTTTGGAGAGCCATCATTTCATCTACTATTGCATTCTTCCACTTAGGATTTTCAAGGGTTTCCTAAAAATGACTAGGAATAGGTACAAAAGATAATTAAAGAGCAAATGTTAAGTTAGTTTTAGACCAATGGTGATAGGATATAAAGTCAGAGATTGGGAATTCGAATCTATCAGTTGCTTTTCTTTCATGAAGAGGATATCTCCTATTCTGATCAATATTAGAATTGAGATTGGAATTTTGAGGAGATTTGGAAGAGTAGGTGCATACCTAAGTGTCAGTCCTGGAAAATTCATCCAATGGCATGGTAGTGTCATCAAGGGAGTTACTAGGATTAGGAGGTAGAACAGTGATATCTTCCTTTGTCCTAGAATATCGTTTCTCAAAGAAGCGAGTTGGTCTCTCAATTAGAATCATCTTGTTCAATTTTATTTTCCTCAACAGACGGATCATCTAAAACCAAGGATTCCCTATTTGCTTTAATGTTATTTGTACTTGAGGTATATATGTGTTTTTCTCTCAACCATAGTTGTTCCTCTTCTTGACTACCAATCTCCCCCGAAGAGGAACCATAGATATGTCGCCAAAAAAAATAGGACTCATTTTCACAAAATTGAACATTCATCAACACATAATAGGTTCCTATAGGTGGATGAAGGCATTTGTATTCTTTTTGAGAATTAGAATAGCCAAGGAAAACACATTTGATAGCACGAGAATCAAGTTTATCTCTATGATGAGAATGAATATGAACATAGCATACACAACCAAAAATCTTAGGACAAATATTAATAGCAGATGGAATAGGATGAAATTTAGATAACATCTTTAAAGGAGTTTGAAAATCAAGAATCTTAGCAAGCACTTGATTGACAAGAAGAATAGTAGTCATGACAGCTTCAGCCCGAAAATGTTTTGTAACATGCATAGTAAAACATAAGGCTCAAGCCATTTCAAGAAGATGGCGATTCTTACGTTTTACGATGCCATTCTGTTGGGTGTTTAAACACAAGTTTTCTGGAAAAGAATGTCATGTTTTGTTATAAATTTAGCAAGAGATTGATTCACAAACTCACAATCATTGTTAGAATAAAAAACTTTAATTTTAGTGTTAAATTGGGTGATAATCATGTTGTAAAACTGAGGAATAATGTGGGAAAAATCACTCTTAAATTTCATCAAATATCCCAACTAACTCGAGTACAGTCATCAATAAAAGAGAAAATTTTTATGCCCTAAAGCAGGAGTATTGAAAGACCCCACATATCAGTATGAACACATGAAAAAAGAATAGTGCTTTTATTAAAACTAACTTTAAAAGGAACACGATGATTTTTAGCATAAATGCATTGTTCACATTTTAAAATAGAAACATAAATTTTGGAAAATAATTGAGGAAACAATTGTTGTAAATAAGAAAAAGATGGATGTCCTAACCGATAATGTCAAAGCCTAATTCTCTCTAGATCAGATTTTTCTCTCTTTGTTTGAAAGCCACGAGTAGGTGTTGCTTGCCTTGATTGTCCTCCAAATAATACAAATCATTCCTCTCCTTACCAATGTCAATCGTCATCTTCGTAAGATTGTCTTGAAACACACAATGAGTAGAGTGAAAAATGACATAACAATTGATATTCTTTGTAATCTTACTAATGGAAAGGAGGCTGTTTGAATGTCTAGGTGCAAGTAGAACAGAGGACATAAAAAATGTGGGAGAAAGAGACACATTTCCAGCCCTTGTGATTGGCATAGAATTCCCATTAGCAACCTGTATAGACTTAACTGGTGGAGATGTTAGAGAATCAAGGATAGAAAAGTTGTTAGTCATATGATTAGTGGCCCCTGAATCAATAATCCAAGTATTGGGACAAGTAGAAATAATGGATAAAACAACATTACCTTCTTGGGAAGATGTCTAAGATACATGAGAAGCAAAAGATAGAGTAATGTCTATGGTAGTAGCATTCCGAGTAGAACTTTTGTTTTTCCTCTCATCTTACTTGAGTTTATAGCATTCCAGATAGCCATGCTTCTTCCAGCAAACATCAGCTGTGTCTGTTCTTATGGTAGTGGGTGCAAAACCGAGATTGAGAAGCTATAGAAGGGCTTTTTTGGACAGTTAGAGCTGAAGCTTTAGAGTGGATTTCTGCTCCTATGGTAACATGTCGTTGAACTTCTTGGCAAACCAAGGAGTATGCTTCTTCTAATCTTGGTAGAGGAAAAGTAGCTAGAACATGGTTACTAACTTGATCTAAATTATGATCGAGACCAACAAGAAAGATATAAACCTTGTCTTCTGCTATACGTTTGTGTATTTTTCAATATCAGCAGCACGTCATATCATTTGGCCTTCGGTAATCAATCTCCATAAAAATTGAGTTTAATTCATTGTAATATTCTGCTAAAGGTTGGCCACCTTGACGTGATTGGAAAGGCTTCTTCATGAGTTCATAAACTTGAGAAGAATCAGATACGTCAAGGTAACTTCTTTTCACAGCATCCCAGACTCCTTTTGTTGTGCCACACTGCACAAAGCGTGACGTTAGATAATCGCTCATTGAATTAATGAACCAAGATTTGACAAGTGCATCTTTAGCCTCCCATTAATCATAGCCTAGATCATCTTCTACTGGTGCAACCTTTTTTTCCGTTGATATAGCCCTTCTTTTTCCTTCCAGCAATATGCATCTCCGAAATCTTAGACCGGACTCGATAGTTAGCACCATCCAATTTAATATGGATGAATGAAGGAGCATCGTGACCGGTTATGGTGGAGGTTTTCCTGCTGTCAGTATTTGCAATCTTAGGTTTGGTAGACATATTGTGGTGTGGCTAGTGTTTTAGGGAAGAAAGGAGCAACGGCTGGGGGCTAGGGTTTTTGAAGAAGAAGAAAGGAGCAACTGTAGCTAGGGTACAAGGCTCTGATACCAAATTGTTAATATGCAGAATTATCTTTCTTTCATTTATTTTGATGATATATATACAAGATAAAATGACCTATATATGGTAAATAGATCGCAGATACAGCTATGTGTATATTTCTAATTTAAGAGGAAACTATATAGAAAATATACAAAATAGGAAGTAAGAAAGAATACAACTCATTCCGGCTAACTAAAACTGATGAAACTAAGTATGAGGTTTTAGGAGGGTAAGTGTTACCCTCCAATCAGGGAGGGTAAAACTTAACCCCAATTTTGGAGTTATTAAAAGTTACCTTCCTTAACTTTTCTCCCTCACAACAATTGTGTGCCAAACATGAGGGAAGTAATTTTTCACCCCCTTTCCCCTCATACCAAACACAACTAGTATTTATTTGCCTTCACCTGGGGATGTATTTGACTGAGAGCATATAAGTTGTTTTTTATAGTTATAGTTGCACTAGTTTTGTTTAGTGATCAGTTGAAGGGACCCTACAAGCTGCTCCATTCTTTCTCATGTATAATAAGACATTGACAAGAGCATAATGTGAAGGGTTTTGCACAACAACTACCCTAATACAAGTTCGATGTATTTTGATGTATTGTGGATATCTACATGCAAAAAGGTTTGTATTTCCATGCTTATTTAACTCTATAAAACTGATTCAATGAATCGCTTGGTGCAATCTACAGATGTGCTACGAGCCCTGCTGCCTAGTATTATACCGCCATCTTACAGGGGTGCTACCATTCGATATATATACTATGTTAAGAGTACATTATCTGGACAACGGCTGATGCTGGAAAATACTAACTCTCATAGAGAGTCATCAAAAGATCTTATTCAACTGGTTGGTTTGCTTAATTATCGTGCTTCCTCTTAAGGTTCTTGAAAAGTTTTCTTTTAATTAGTTGCTTTAGTAGCTTGCAGTTTTGCCTAGTTTTTAGTTATCAAAAATTCAAAATTATTTGCAGTCTCCATACTTCATACTGATAATTATTGGTTAGCATGCTATGATGTCCTACATTTGAGTCATGCATATTTCATTTTTCTTTTTTGGGTAGTGATTTTTAATTGTTGCAATACTCTGTTGTAGCTGGTGAATTAGTGGCAGCAATGAATCATTTTGCATGCTCACCAATTGATTTGCTACTTCCTCAAGACAGTTAAAAAAACCGCTGCAACTAAGGTTTAAGCACTTGTATTGCTCTCCATGTTGATAGCTAGAGGCTAAATATTATGTATTCTGCATCCCATCTGTTGCATCATACAAGATGATTAGCTTACAGAAAACCTTTGTCATGTGATACGTGCATTATATAGGGCATACGTGTTACAAAAGTTGAAGGTTTAGTTTCAAATATGTAGAGGGAGATATTGCAATTTGAGATTGGACTTTATGCAGGGGAAATTGCTCATCAACTGTTTTTCTCCTGCATTTCTGATTTAAGTCTCCAGGAATTTTCTGTCAAGAATGCTGTAGTTATTATGTTAAAGAAATCCCATCAATGAAAGTGTTTTACTTTGTGACAATAGCTAATCAATGTTGAGCTCCCGTGGTCCAGTCAACCACTAATACTTTACAGCCTCCAGCAGATATAAATAATGACTAAGCTTCTATCGTATTACGTATTTTAGATATAAGGGCGAGTGCATTTTGACTGATCTTGAAGACAACTTTCTGTTTTTCTTCCTTTCAGAAGCATACATTACTCTTTATACTCTTGCCATTGCTAGTCTGTTGCAGTTTTGTGTTGCACCAAAGAAAAACATTATCAATCGCGTGAATTTATGTTTCTGCCCCAATTTATGTAATTGCAGAAAACACTCAAGTTGTATTTTGAGGTCCTTGCCTTGCAATAATTTTTCTTCACATGTGTTCTCATGCTGTTAAATATAAATCCTAGCAGGAAGATCGTATTCCTCTACAAATATGGGTGACTCAAAAAAGCAATGGCCTATTAATGGAAGAAGGTCTACGTGATGGTGAGTAGTTTTCAGATCCCTTTATACAAGATTGTATATCTTAAGTTCAACACATAGATTCCAGGGACTTAAATACGACAAATACTTGTGTATATTGACAACTCAGCTGACTAGCTGCTGGCCCGAAATTGTGAAAGGACAAAATTCACAAATTATTTTAAGAACAAAAATTTTCCTACAACCCTTGGCAGTAAGTGCCTACTGCCCAACATGTGCAGTCTCTCAGTCCACCATGTGTTGGACAACATTTATTGCTTACAAAAGTTCAGGGAATTAAAATCATTATTGTATAACAAAAGGTAGTTGCCCTTTTAAAAACACCATAGTGAGGTGCAAATATAATATAGCAGTAAAAGTAGAGAGTTTTGTTGACCAAAATTTATGAAGCAATTAATGCCTTGCACACGTGGTGACATCAGAAACCGCCACAAATTGGGCAGTAGGTACTCCTACAGCCAAGGGTTGCAGGAAATTTTTTTTCCCTTATCATAAAGGATCAAAATTGCATTCTCAGAAAGTTGGAAGTCCATTCTTGTCTTAGACGTCAACTCTTCATTACTGTGAAAACACTTTCAAGAAACTTCTGGCAGGTCTAAGTGGATTTTGATTTGTTACAGACTTATACTGCTCCATGTGAAAAACTACGGTAGCCCTTTTAACTTCTAAAATTGAACAAATAGTGCATACAAATTGCTTACTGATAAGATTTTCTGAATCTAATTTATTTCATACCCGTTGAACCATTTACTTGAGTATATTTTTCTTTGATGCTTCAGGGATTGTTCCTGCTACGACCATTCAATTGGATATACACTGGAAAGAGATGGATGGAGACAATGAATGGGTAGCCAGTCTGTTGTTCTTTTTAAGTACTTTAATCACTTGTGCTATATGCAGCATTTATGTTTGTGTTTTTATGTATTTCACTGGAGCCATTTTAACGTAATTTACTTTTGAAAGCTGCTGTCAAAATTAAATAGTCATTCAATTCTTCACAGGCTAGAGCAAATGATATAGATGATGGAGTTGATGAAGGGTATGAAAGCTCAAGAGATGAAGTTTCATCTGTTTCTTCCTACAATCCCAATAGAGAAAGTATACACAAGACGTTTGGAAGTTCTCTGTCCCTGCAATCTGTGGCAAGGTCTTCCAATAAGGATGCTTCATTTACTGAAGGAGGACGCAGAAGTTTATCAACTCTAGCACTTCCTCGTCTGTCCGTGGCTGAGGTTTTGTATGATTCTGGTGCTGGTGAGTATTAAGGCTACCTTGGTGATTATATGTGCTGCACGTGATTAAATGCGCTGCACTTTATATTTATTAGTTGAGATAAAAGTTGGTTGGATGGTGATGAAATTTTCCTTCTGCAATTTGTTCAGCATGCCTGCTGAAATAATCAAAGCTTCTGCTATCTGTTAGTCATTAAAAAAAAAAAAAAGCCTTCTGAACTGTAGAGTATCTCTTAAAACAGATATGTCAGCACCTGATAAGTCGTCAGCTATTGTTTCTCCAATCCAGCAACTTGAAGATGAGTTGGCCGGAGCATCCTCTGCACCTCTAACTGTAAACAATGAACCTGCAGCATGTAAATTATTGAAGCTTCTTCTCCTTTTAAGATATCCTAAATACTGCTGATACATTTTTTTTATCCATTAATGGTTACTTATACCTGTAAACTTATTTGCTACAAACATTTCCTGCAGCAGAAGGCTTTATTCGCGGAAGGTCTTACAATATCAGGATGGATAACAATGTTCTATTGAGATTTTCCCCTAGGAACTCAGACTCTACTTTTTACTTCAGTGATATGGTAACATCAGTGGCACACTTCTATCTGCTTTCAGAATTTAACATCCATTTTTTCTTTCCTTTCCCCGTTGTTTTATTTACCTGTTTTAGTAACAGATAGGTGGAACTCTTATGTTTTTCCATGAAGAAGGAGCCAAGAAATGTCTCGAGGTAACTGCATATAACAAGCAAAAGAATAGTCAGTTGCATATATATAGCACATAGTAAAAGGGAAATGTTATTTCCAGAGCAAACCGATCCCTCCAGAGCACAGTGCTGCCAATCAATGCATGCGTTACCTACCATCCATTGCTGGATGGATCGGTTATTTGGAAAAATTAACCCATTGTAAACTACTAATGATCTAATAATTCTGAATCTGACTTGAGGATTGGTGTGTCACAGGTTTCAATAACATTGGAAACTTCAGAGACTGTAAGTCGACGTTATATTCATCCTTCTCGCAAGAATTCCCCGACGATTACTAAGGTACAGTATTTATTTTGATGCAATGTGGCTTGGCTTGATTGGTTGATTTATCATAGTTTTCATAATTTTGAAAAATTAATAAAAAATGAAGACTCATCCTCAGTCTATCTATATCACTTTAGAAAATGTACTAGAAATTTATCTCTGAGTGGTCACTGTTCCAACTTAACAGCCTAAGCCGTAGACAGAGTAAAGTTATTCTGATTGAGACCTCCTAAATAGCAAATAATGTTTTCCATATTTGTCTTCTGGTGTGTGTGTGTGTGCATCTGCCAAGTCAATTGTTAATATGATATTTTTATCTGGATATAAATATTCTGAGAATTTTATTTTCTTGCATATTGGCTGTACGATTTTTGTAGGTTCAAAGTGATCATCATGAGGTTGTTGCAGATTTGGTGCAGACAAGCTTTCTGTTTTCAATTCCCATGGATGGGCCTATGTCCTTCTCCACACCTTATGTCTCTGTGCAATGGGTTCTGCGATTTGAATTTTTTACCACCCCAAAAAATGTGGACTGGACCAGGTATTCTCATAATATAGCATGGATGATACACTGGGTAATGCAAACTGTTGTATGCTGGTGGCAGAGAATGAAAACTAATATTCTTGTTCTTGTTCTTCTTTTTTTTTTCTTTTTCTTTTTTTTTTTTTAAAAATCTGGATGCTATCTGTTGTATCTTGGGTATTTGAGTTTGGTTTTGAATGACTCTTAGTCGCTAACTTGAGATGACAAGTTGGACGCTAAAACAGAGAAATCTGAAAAAGCAGAAGGGGAGGGGTACAAAAATGTAGATTGCAGGAACAGATTTCATATCAGAGTTCGACCGTACCATATTTGCATTTTTTTTTTTTTATATACTAAAAGCATGAAAATTTATTGAACGGAACTTGGAGTCATCAATGGTAAAGATACTGGCCAGTGAAAAGAGAACCAGTGGTTGAAAGGTAATTCTGTTGTGTCAGCTTGTTGGATAATGGTCTTGATGTTTGAAGGTGGGTGAATGAGCTTGTGATCTCATTTCTGCAAATACATAGATGACTAGACATTGTATCTATAGGTGTAATGTAGATACGTGAAATTTGTATTTAGCTATGTTGATATAATGTGCAATTTCATATGATTACTTGCTCTTAAGCTTTGATTATATTTACCTCTCCCTGTTCCATAACTCTCTTGACCTTCCGAACTCAGATATGAGCATCCTCTTCTGATAGAAGGTAGAGACAAAAGCGAGTGGATTCTTCCTATAACAGTGCATGCACCTCCACCTGGAGCTTCAGCTGCCCATGCCCGAAATGAGAAGACTTTTTCTTCAGAACCTCTGTGGATTCATACTTGAAGGTGTACTAAAATTTTGGATATAAATAATTAATTTTTTTTCTTACCTTGTTCTTGCTATGATGAAATGAATTATTTTTTTTTTTGCAAAATTGATTGAATTTAAGTATGCTGGTGTCCAACTGAATTTTCTTTGAAATCTTTTAGTGAAATTGACTCTTTTTTCTATATAGTCCACCTACAACCTAAAGATGGTAGCACGTCAATTGGTTTTTAACATCTTATTTTATTCTATTGTGCATGATTAGTCATGGGCAGCAAATTCAAATGTTTTTCTTGAGATGCTCCTCACACAATGCTTTAATGTCAATTTTCAGTTAATGTTGGTTTCTGGATCTGTTTTCAGGATTTGAATTTTAAAGTTGTTTGATTGGCTTCGGAGCTAATTAAAAAACAAAATAAAAAAAGGGGACAAGAGGAATCGGGCTGTTTCAGTTGCAACTTATGGCAAGTTCCGTGAGGAACTAAGAGGAGCTGGGCAAAGCTTTGTTGTCAGCATGCAGACAGTATCTGGCAAACTCAATGCTAAGAAGATGTGCACACACACTTGACATCCAAACTCCGTACTTTACCATTTGAGTCTCGTAAGTTGTAATGTGTCTGAATACTCGATATCTAATTTTTGTTTCCTAATATTGCTTTTATTCTTTAGAACAAACAATAGCTTCTTTATCCAAGCATATGCATGGATCTGTTGGTTTAGGGGGCTGTACTGTGGAGTGACAGACTGGTACAGATTGCAGCAAAAGAAATGTGAAATCAGAAAGCAGAACTGATATAGAATGTGCTGAATGTAATGAGAGTTTTTGCAGAATAAAAATTCAGGAAGATGAACGCTACACCTTTAAAGTCTCTATTGCTTCCCTTTTTTTTTTTTTTTTTTTTTTTTGCCCTTTTTGGTTACAACGAAGAGGTCATTACTTGAGATTGGGAACAATTTGCTTCAGACTTATGGGCTTCTTGGGTCACTTTAAAGTCCAATGGTTGCGTTGTTGTCTACGCCTTATTGTGCTTTGGGTTTCACCAAATCAATACTTCAATCTTACTTTAACTGAATATTATAGATGGCAATAGGTTGAGTATGAAACTGATTTCTGTGAAACAAGTTAAGTATGTTTAATGGTTATTGAGATGAGTATGGGTAAGAAAATTTATATCTACTAGCTGTTTGTGTCTTGTGTTGTAGAGGTTAATTAGCATTCATCTCGTGCGTTATTGTAGGATGAGTTTATAATATTTTTATGTATTCATTTATATAAAATTTAAAATTTAAAAATAATTATTTAAAAGTATCACGCGAGAAAAATTTTTAAAAAAGAACTAAAACATGTATTTCATAATTTGCAGCAAGGTTAGCTAAATGAAAGTCCGTAAAGTTAAATAATATAATATTACTAATTAGATATTATTTAATATAATTAAAATATGTATAACAACTGATAATTAAAAAAATAATGTGATAGTTTTTTGAATTTTTTGATGATTAATTTTTACCATATATTATTCATCCGTAATTTGTTAATGAGACGAGAAAAACCACCTAAAATAAAAAGAAAAAAAAACATTTGTCATATCGAGAATTTGGCAAAGAAAATAAAGATAAAATTATACACGATAAAAATTAAATGATTAAAACAAAATAAAGATTAAAATAAATTGAAAAATTTTCACTAAAAAAAGATTATAAACAATAAGTCTAAAAACAAATTCATTATGTATAAGGCAGGAACAAAAGTAAAACGTTATAGAATTTTAATGACCAAAATAAAAAAATTAATAAAATAAGAATAAAAACAGCAAATATTTTTTTACTAAAAAAAAACTTAGAATTGTTAAACTGTATTTAATTTTAGTGTAGAATGAATAATAATTAAATATAATAAAAATTTAATAATCAAAATAAATGAAAGATCACAAAACAAAAATCAAAATGTAACAAAAAGTTTTAGTAAAAGTAAAAAATAGTTTTTTGTAGGGAAAAAAAATCAAATATAGTAAAAATTTAATTATCAAAATAAAAAACAATTACAAAATAGGGACTAAAAAATATTTACTAAATTTAATGACAACAATAAAGAAAAAAATCACAAAACAGGAATTATAATAAAAAGAAAAGTTTTACCAAATGCTAAATATAATAAAAAAAAAGCTTAGGATAGTAAATTTTATTTAATTTTAGTATAATAAGGATAAAAATCAAACATGATAAAACTTAATGATCAAAATAACAACATATCACAAAGTATGAATAAAAATAAATAAATTTTTACTAAAAGTTAAGAAAAAATATTTATCATAGGGATAAAAATTAAATATAATAAAATTTAAAATGACTTGCGATCAACAAAAGGTTGTTTATCTTGATGGTCTTTTCAATAACATTATTTGTTTAAAGAATGTCAGTGTTGAGTCACCATAGAAGACAGGGTCGACTAAAATAAAAACAAATAAAGAAATCAATAATGCTCAATCATTAAAATAAAAATTAAGGACACGAAATTAAAGGAAAGATATCAACATCAGACGAAAAAAAAAAAAAAAAAATCTTTATTGGGACTATTATTAATTATAAAAGAAGCACGGCTTAAAAAATGGCTAGTAGAAGAACCCACGTTCTTTGTTGTCTGTATGCTACTTACGATAGGCATGGAACCCATTCGGCGTCCAAAAATAGCATAGACACCCGATCTTCCTCTTCTCCTTTGGTATTGAATCGCGATTGAGTCCTTGAAATGTAGTTTTTACTATATTAATGTCCACACCAGTGTAGTTTTTACTAGATTAATGCCCGTGGTATGCCTTGATAAAATGAACGTTGAATGACAAACTATTTTTGTTAATGTTTATAAGAAAATAAGAAAGTTGGCAGGATTTCAAATGTTCGAATTTATTTTCTTTTGTTATTTCGATGATAGACAGTTTTTTGAATAAAAGAATAAAATATAAATTTAAACGACGACGGATAGTATGTTTTTAATGGTAATTAGAAGATTACATGCGAAGCTTCGATAACATCAATAAGATTTGAATGACAACGCGTAAAGTACATATAAGTTATTAAAAAAAAAGTTTAACCAATTACACTCGTTTCATTCATCCGAAAGTATACAAGCATATGTTTTCATGCAACTAAACAACTCGCGAATGCTTGAAAACATGTTTGATAAATATATTTAAAAAAAAAAAAGAATTGAATCAATAATCGAAAGTAAGTGGCTAGTCTTCGTATGTTTGATGCTCGCGCTATGCCCCGATAAAATGAACACCTGAATGACAAACTATTCTTGTTAATGTTTATAAGAAGATAAGAAAGTTGGAAAGATTTCAAATGTTCGAATTTATTTTCTTTTGTTATTTTGATGATAGACGAGTTTTTGAATAAAAGAATGAAATATAAATTTAAGCGAGGTAGATAGTATGTTTTTAATGGTAATGGCAAAGCATAAAGTACATATAAGTTATTAAAAAAAAGTTTAACCAATTACACTCGTTTCATTCATCCGAAAGTATACAAGCATATGTTTTCGTGCAACTAAACAACTCTACGAATGCTTGAAAACATGTTTGATAAATATATATTTTTTAAAAAAAGAATTGAATCAATAATCGAAAGCAAGTGGCTAGTCTTCGTATGTTTGTTCATTGAAAGCAATGTTTATTTATTTGTTTGTTTTGAAATAATAAGTAGTCATGTGGTACATCTAGATATGAGATTGAATGAAAAACTAAACATTTATTGTCAAACTTGTGTATTAGTAATGGGTGTGCAGAAAAAATTATAAATAGTTGTTACGTTTTCATCTTTCAAATTTGGCTTGCCCATTTTGTGTTAAAAGGAGAATAATAATTATTATAACTCACGATATGGATGAAATTCAAGTGTTTGGTAAGTTGTTTTGTTGCAAGGATTGGGGGAATCATGCAAATGAAAAAAATAAAAAAATAAAAAATAGATACACGAAGCAAGTTTGGCTAAGAAGTTAGTAAAATACCTTTTATGTGATATCCGTAGAGGTGAAAAAAAATCATCTAATACAAGTAATAATAAAAAGTACTATATTACTTAAAGAATAATGTTGAAAAAAAAATTTGAACATGATACAAAAATTTGCAAATGTTGAGCTAGATATGATGTAAATACACATATAAAATAAAAATATAAGATAGAGAATATCAAGCTTAACATAATTCATGGACAATAAAATATCAAGCGTAGGTATGTTCTAATACATACAAAGTTAACAAGCATCTAATCCATGTGAGTAGTAAAATTCTCCGGCTATTCATCTTGTTGGTGATCATTCAATATATATATATATATATATATATATATATATATATGTATTTGGTGTGCCATGTGTGGAGGAGCTCCTATTTGTAATGAATTATTGTAGGCATGTTCTAATATTGTAGTAAAGTGTATGAAGTTGGTTTTAAATGTCATGCGATAATGAATTTTCAATTAATAATATTTTTTTGTTTAGTTTGACAAAAGAAATGGCACATCTTTTGACATGTGAAAGAAGCAAAAGATTAACTTAGTTGTTTATTGATATTGGTAGAGTTGTAAAGCATCACTTGCTAGAGTAATTTTTCTAGTTACGCGTGAAATAAGTTCTAAATAAAATAAATTTGTCCGATTCTATTATGAATATTTATCCGTGCTTGTAGCGGGTCTCATTCATGAGCGACCTATTTAATTGTTTGTCATGTATGAAATTATTAATCCAATTATGTATTTGATTGTATAAAATTATTAATGCAATTTTTTTAATATATTATGTAAAATTATAGCTTCGTTTTTATAAAGACCATCTATAAATTAATATATAAAATTTTGATTTTCTTTTTCTATATTTTTTTGTTATAGATGTAAATTGAAATTACAAGGTTTGTACAGCAAGTAGGAAACATATAATCTGTACCGGTGATTTGCTTGTTGAATTCTTAAACAATCTATGGCTATTTTTGTATGTATACATAGATGTGTGTCTAGACCAATAATCAAATTACTTATTATGGTAAATCAAGGTTAAAAAAATGTTTTGAGAATTAAAGGTAAAGAATGTCTGAATTATAAGCATATGAGTATTTAGTAAATTTTAATGAAATTCAAAAACAAAGTGAAAAAAACAAGTTTAGAACTAAATAATAGATATTGCTCGGTTTAACTATTTTAATAGTTTTATCATCTTTAATTGCATTTATTAACCGATAAACTCATAAGAATCAATTAAATATATTCAATAATAAAGTTTAGGGGCACTAAATATGCCTTGCTACTTAGGTAGAATTTTTATGAAATTTGTTTTTTGATTTAGCTCAAAGAAGTTGTTATTTGTGAAAAAAAAAATAGCAAATGTGAATACTATTTGAAGAAACATGTTATTTTCTGTCTTTTTATCAAACAATTATACCATGACATGAGATAAAATCTATGATATTCAAAACCAACAGACTCTAGGATGACTATAAAAGAATGTGTTTTATGTTTTTTTAAATTTGAAAGTGAGGAAAAAATCGATAACAACTCAATTCTCAAAAGACAATATCAATTTCTTTTTTTAAAAAAACTTGAAAATGAGAAAAAAAAGTACTAATAGTACAATCTATAAAAGACATTTTTTAGCATAAATACATTGTTGTTCTTAAGCAATTGTTTACAAAAGGAGCTTTGTAAACCATTTTTTATACATTGTTAAACAACAAAACCAGGTGCTTTATGACTTGGTATACTTCGTGCCATATGACCTTTTTTTAGCTAAATTATTTTCTATAAGATTTTGTTTGTTGGAGAAAATGTTTTTAGCTAAATTATTAGCAACAAGAATCCATTGATTTATTTATTTTTTTAATTTTTTGTTTGAAAAAAAACATAAATATTTTTTTATTAAAAACAATTTTGACTTAAATAAAAAGTAGTTACAAAATTAGATCATTATTTTTTCCTAAATTTGAACTTTTAATCTATTAAAATCTATTAATTATAATTTGTATTACCTTCTTGAAAAAAAGATTATTTTAATCATTTTTTATTAAATATATTTTGAAAGTAAATTCTTTATGATTTTTTAATCATAACTTAAAATTATAATTTTTTTATAGGCCATGTCAAATCTAATCTTTATTTTCTGGTCATAATAAATTTTTCTCTCATTTGTTTATTTTGTATTTTTCTTTTTATAGGCTTTCTTAAATGTAACACATCTAGTTTAAAAATATATAAAATTATTTGTATGGAGATAATTTTTCAAATTCATAATGTGAAGATGAAAATCTTAGCAGGAAAAAACTTGAAACATAAGATCTGTATAGATTCTGTTGGGACTAAAGGAGTAATTGTCTTCAAAAAAAAAAAAAAAAAAAAGGAGTAAAAATTGCTTATCAAGCTGCTGCAATATGTTTCCTTTTGTAAACATTTAGTTTTCACAGCATAAGACCTTTATAAATTCTGTTGGAACTACAGGAGTAATTATCTCAAAATAAATAAATAAATAAATAAATAAGTAAAAATTGCTTATCAAGCTGCTGCAGTATGTCTCCTTTTGTAAACATTTAGTTTTCACTAACATCCAACCATTCATTAAGGAAAAAAAAAAAAATCCAACCATATTTATTTATTCATGAAAACAACCATATATGTTGACGGACATGTAGCCAAACTCTTTTATAGGGCTTTGTAGTTGTCAAGATATTACCGCTACCAGCAATGAAAAATCGGTATCTAATCTTGTTTTTTGCCCAAATTTTCTATTGTTATGCTCAGATAATCCGCTAAAATAACTTCAATTTTTTCAATAACGTTGTGCTTTACTGCAAAGTCAATCATCTCTTGTATCTCCATTCTTCCAATGCCACTGCTAGCTATTGTCTTCCTTCCTATCTTTTTTCCTCATCTTATTAGCCATATTCACATTCACAATAAGATAAAAAAGTAAATTGACAATAATCAAATGTTATATTAACAACAAATCAAGGAAAAGATAGCTAGGTCAAGAGGATTCTCGTGTGCACCCACTAAGATAAGCTTTTTGTGAGACTCCAACGACCCAAACAAAGGCAAAATAGGATGAATAAAAAAAACTATATTAATGACGCCATCTAATGTGCTTATGGCAATCTACGATACCCTGCACATTCCATTACGCACTCAATTTCTGAAAAACAGACCAATCGATGTAACTTATCTCTATCTAAATAAGCAAGAAAATAATTTGGAATTCAAAGGGAAACGAACATGTAAAAACATGAAATCACCTACATTTGCTCTTAGTCACAACAAACCAAAAATGAGTCTGCATCTAAATTCTTCAAAGTCGACTCCTTAGAAGGTGCTAATTACTTTTACTTTAGCTCTAAAAGCCTCCATAGATTTAATAGTAAGATTACTAAGTCCACCAAGGGCAACGACCCCAACATGCTTGCCCGATTTATGTAATTCAAAATATTTCAAAGGACTATATGCTATATTTCCAGCACAAAGAAATGTGAAAAAGCCAAACAAATATTGTTATCATACCGATATGAAAAATACATCACTCAGCCAATCATTTGCCATCTTTAACCTCTAGATTCGTGAAGATTGATCATAAACTTCATTAAAATATACCTTTGTAGCACATAACTAAAAAAATTTCAGAGGTCAACATAATAATTTAAATCAAACATACACTTATCTCCCTAAGTGAGACTCTTAATATATGAAGTTGATGTTTTATAGATAGAATTCTGAAATGGAAGGTAAATGAAGGCAAAAAAAAAAAAAATAATAATAAAAAATAAATAAATAAATAAATAAAAGGAAGAAAGATAAAATTCTAAAGCAATTGAAAATTGAAAAAAAAAAAATCCTTACCAAGATCAAACCAAGATTTAAAACTGCAGCTAGGATAGAAATCTAGCAAAATCAAGATTTAAAGTATCATTTTAACTTATAAATCAGAAGAAAAGTTATAAATTAGTCTTAGTAATGGATTCAATTAACATCAAACATACAAGAAACTTATAACTAATTAACAAGTTTAAACCCTACAAACATATCAAAGTAACTTGAAAACATAAAATTAATAAGTAATAAGAGCTATAGGCTTAAAAAAATGAAGAAAGATAATTTTTTTGGCTAGCACATCAAAGAGCTAACCAATGATAAAAAAAAAAAAAATCTCCAAACAACTTCATCCAAAAAACAAATCCTCAAGGCTATATAAAGCAAACAAATACCACCTTATGCTCTTCAATCCGACAATCGATATGCTCCCTCTTTCTATTGTCGTCTTGTGTTGCCATCAATTAAAAAAAAATTCTAGAAAAAACTAATAACAAACAATTTAAGATTGAAATTATTTGATAATTTATAGAAGAGATCCATAGAAAAAGAGTGAAAAAAAGGTTTTGATTGACGAGTGAAAAACCCAAGAAAAAAACAAAATCTCACAAAACTGGTTTAAAAACACAAAGTAGCATTACAACTCCAAATTAAAAGAGATTCTCGTCTACTACCAACTAAATTCAAAAATCAGAATGGCAATTTCTATAGTCAACCACGAACATATCCGTAGTTCCAACAACATTAATTAAAAATCAATATCCATCCAAACTCCAAATCAAAATAACACACCATACATACAAACAACGGACCCAAATCATAAAAGATGCAAAATAAAATTATAAAAAAACATATACTTATTAGTAAATGATACAAATTGAATGAGCTAAAACTACAAACATAATATCTCATAGACTACAATATATTCAAATATTGATGATCAACAAACCTCATAGCAAAAGTTCTTCTATTACCATCTCCTCGATCGTCGCTACCATTAGTATTACCATCTCTAATATTATTACTATTCAAACTCCTTCTTTCTCTCTATAAAGACTATGATGTCTAAATTAAGCAAAACTCTTCTTCATGATAGCCTTAAAATGCAAACCAATTAGCTCGGTAGCAATCCATCTCTTGAGAGCGAATCTTTGTGAAGATATAGAATGAGACTTTTGTTGGGTTGGTTTTGAATCGACAAATAAAGAGAGTTCGACATTTCTTATTGAAGATGATTGTGTCCTCGCTTCAAGTTCCCGGATCTTTTTTAGTAGCTCTTTTATCGGTGGTGTACTTTCCATTTTTTGTTTCTTGATAAATCAATTCATTGAAATATTTCATTCTTTCTCCGACTTGCTTGCTCTTGATTACCTAAATAAAGGAATTTGGGGAGTGAAAAAGTTAAAGAGTGAAGGATGAAGATGGACACCGGCTTGATGAGATTGAAATAAAATGAGGTTATACATTATGATTCAACGATTATGATAGCTAGAGTTTTTAGATGAATGGTGGAGATTAAAAAAAAAAAAAAGTAAAAGCCAAACAACACAAGGGAAATGAAGGAAGAAAAATAATGAAAGAAATGATAGGAAAAAAATTAATAGACAATGGCAAAGAAATAGAGAAGAAAATTCAAGATGCATGAGCATTAAATGCTCTTGAAAATGAAATGTTTGAAGAGGATAAATAAAACTACAGCTTAAGGATCCAAAGATGGGTAAAAAAATAATAACTCAAAAGCATTTAATGGCATAAAAGTAAAATATAATAGACGAAAAGGGCAAGAAATAAAAAAAATGAGAAAAAAGAGAGTCACAGAGAAACAATTTGGAGACAACAAATTAAATGCTTTGACAAGAAAAGAGATGAAATGGCAAAAGGTCTCCTAGAAGAGAGAAGAAAAAAACTCATTATGGGAAAATTAGTAAAACACCAAAAAGAGGTAATGTTGAATTTCTCTCAAACAAACTCAATCAAAAGTGCATTATAACCATACTTTTTATGGCAATAAAAAAGTATTTAATATCACAATACTAATGAAGTCCAATAATAGCAAACATAAATAATATTTTAAATTGCTAATCAATTTCTGCCCGAAGTCCGAAACAATGGTGAATCTCTCAAACCAATAAACCTAATTAAGCTTAAATCTAATTATTATTGCATAGCATAACTTAAATCTCAAAATAAATGCTCAATCACTCTTAAACGAAGACAGATAATTAAAAAAATAATAATATCAAAATAGTAATATTAATATGAATAAGTGATATTAGTTTCATATTCTCTTAAAAATAAGTGATTTCTAATTAATTCACGTTAATAGCCAACCATAAAAAAAGCTATTAAGGCAGGAATATAAAAGCTTGTAATATCAAAAAATAATTAATCATACTAAAAGCCCACATAAACACATTACTTGAAACCAAAAATTAATTAAAAAAAGGAAAATTCTATAAAAAAAAATGCCTAAGGTAATTAAAAGAATTTAATATTAAATACTAGTTAACTAGTTGGATACCCGTGCTACATCGCGATCGAACAACCATTATATACGTAGGATCAACGATTCGTATGGTGTAGTGCGGGTAAAAAAAATTTTCCTTGTAATTAATGTAAATCAAATCTATTTGTCAAGCAAAATCGTTTGATATACATACATATATACATACATACATACATACATACATACATACTATATATATATATATATATATATATAAACAAAATAATAAATAATATTAGTATAAAAAGTTATATTTGACTAATTGAAAGGTGCTTTCAAAATATTAGTTCAATTATTTTATTTTAAATATATTGATTTTAGAACATAAAAAAGAATAAATAACAAATAATTAGTGTTATGTATATAGATACATAATTAATTTCTAACAAAACTAATGATATATATATATATATATATCTAAGTTGTATGAAATATATTAAAGTCAATAAATTGAAATAAAAACCATTATAAAATTGATCCCCATAAATTTTACTTCTTAATTTATGATGAAAGATATTCTTGAATTGCAAATTAAATTATAAATTAGTTCATCTTTTTTTCAGAAATGAATTAATTAATTTGTTTGGTTTCAAAAATAAATTATTTAATTTTTTTAATCAGTGTTGAAAATGAATAATTTATTTTTTTATTTTATAAAATGTCTTTTTTTTCATATTTTTCTTATTCTTTCTCTATTTCTTAAAACAAAAAATAAAAACATTGAAATGGAAAAAGGACAAAAAAATAGTTTTTGAATCAAGGGGACTAATTAATTTGTTTCTTAAAGAAAGAGAGACTTATTTATAATCACTCTTGAATAGCAAGTGGCTTTGGCTTCCTTGTCAAAAATAAGAAGAAAAAAAACATTGAAAGAAGATAGGAACATTAAATGCCGAGTTTGAAAAAAAAAATAACGAAAAAAGGCCCAAAAAGAAAATTAAAAGGAGAATTAGTCAAGGGTAAAAATTGAGTTTTTCTAATCCATCGAGTGGCAAAAGAGAAATTAACGAATAGCTAAAGGTGAAAAATCAAGTAACAAAATAAATAGTGAATTTAAATCTAAAATAACGAGTAAATGAATAATAAAAATCTCAGCTTCTTTTAATTTTTTTTCTTAATCATACTAATAGCCAACATAAAAAATATTAATTAAAATCAACGAGTTAATTCAAACAAAGCAAAATGGAAAAGGCCAACAAAATATATCCTCATACAAATGAGGACATACTAATTAAGATTTGAATTCATATTAAATTATTATTGGATCTTGAAATTATGAATCACGTCAATTTAATATTGAATTCAATTATAGTCTTGACACAAACATCATGTCGGGAACATACCAACAAATGAGGAGATACTAAATTTGATTAAGATTTATTGTGAAATCATATTAAATTATAGTCGAGTACTCAAATCAAGAGTCTTGTCAATTTAATATTGGATCCTATTATTGTTTTGACATAAATATCATGCCAATAACATATTAATAAAACATTAAATTGGTCAAGATTTATGGTGGAATCATATTAAATTACTTGTCCGGCCTTGAAATATGAATCACATCAATTTAACATAATATAGTCATGACATGAATATCATGCCACGAACATTTCAGCAAATTAAAACATATTAAACTACTTAAATTTTGAATTTATGATCCTAGTACCACAATGAAAAAACTTATATTTTGCAAGTTAACTTAAAATAATTATGAAATCTCATGGGGCCACCATTGGTTTTTAAAAATAGAAGACGCGTGAACCCAACATGAGATCTCGAGGCTATAAAACTAATATGACTAAATAACACCAAGACACAATGGGCAAATAAGTATCATAATCAATTATGAAATTCATAAAGGGCAAATTGAGCATATAAAGTTAAGCATAAGACAACATATATGAATATAAACATTTTATTCACTATAAAAAAATGACAATTAGCGATGGATTATTCGTCGCTAATTGCTCTAAATTCATCGTTAATGTGGCTTAGCGATGGATCGACGACGAAAGATCTATCCATCGCTAAAATCGCTTATAGCTAATTTTAGCAATGGACAAATCCATTTGGTGGCTATTTTAGAGACGAAAATTCCATCGCTAAGATTCAAGAATCCGTTGTCGTTTTCTTTATGGGACCTATCGTGGCTAACGTCGCTAATTTCATCGTTGAATAATGACCAATTATCCATTGTTAATATCTAAATTTAAGTTAAGTCATCAATATTTCGTTGCTAAATGGAAGAGAGGAATTTGTCGCTATTTTTTTGAAAAAAATTAAGTATTTTTTTACATTTTTTTTAAAATTATTAATATTTTATTTAATAATTAATATTATATTTTTAATAATTAATAATTACAAGTAATAACATATAGAGTAAAAAAATTAATATTAACAATAAGATTCACTAGTACGTTTGATAAAAAAAACCAAGTCATTCAATGTTTGTTTTATCATTCATGATGTTCATCTAATTCTATATCCTCTTCCCGATGCCGTATAGTAGGGCTCGACGAGAGGATCGATTAGAGGCTCGGATGGAAGGTTATATGGAAGGAACAATAAAGTGCTGATTGGTGACGGATCTACGGGCACCCCAGCTTGCCTATGCCAATCCCATCACTAAGGAGGCCATCATGTCGCATCGAGATTTCGGACTATGTATAGTCATCTCGCTTCTCTAAATCGAGTTTTTACTCCCGTGTTGTTTCACTCGTATCCCTTTCATCGCTTTCTTTATAGCCTTGTAGTCCCTCCAAAGCTCATCATTAGCGGTGGTCGACGGTGTAATGCGATGTCACAAAGGAGGAGCTACCGCCACTTGACTAGGACGAGTAATGCATTGCTACCATATAGCCTTTTCTTCTTCTCCCCGATAGCTTCAAAGTTATGGCATTCTTATCAACTTCGGTTCCATGATTCCTTTCACCTATTGAACTACAACTCGCCTCCTAGATAAGCTATTCCACACGTTTTGTGTAATCAAACTAATGATATCATCATTATATGATTAAAATAAATTTTAGATTATGCTTTTATATTTAACATTTGAAATTGAAAACTACTTACCGTTTTTGTTGAGAATGCCAATCGAAAAAAGAATCATCTCACTCGCTTTTGAATCATCTAAAACAAGTCTAAACTCGTTGGCTTATAGCTCAATCTTACTTTCTGAAAAAAAATGCATTATAAACAATATGAGAAGAAAATCAAAATTTTCTAAAACATGTAATTAATAATAAAGAGTGTTCAATTTATCAAGCGATGGGCGTGCTCTTTCATAGATATGGAGCCCCCGTATGCCTAGAAGGACCTATACTAGGACCATCGATCTTCGACAATCGATTCTATGATGCTTGCTCTAAATGAGCCACTCGATTAGGTCTCCCAAAATCTATTCACCACGCATCCCGCATCTCATGACTAATATAAATAGGGCAATCATCCAATAAACTACCCTTGTAGATGAAGTTAGCGTAGCGTTTTTGGTTATAGCCTACTATGACAAGCACTTTGATGGCCAAATCCCAATCAAAATATTTCTACACTAACAAAAAAATTAATATTAACAACTTGATTTAATGAAAATTTATATTTTAATTATAAAGAAAATTGATTATACGTTATCCTAAATTCACTAAAGTAGAATTATATAGTGACATCAATGACGGACTTTCAAGATGATCCACCGATGTTTAACCACTACTTAAAAATCATAAAGATCTTCGTGAAATAATCTCTACTAGGTGAAGTGAAACTATCTAACAACAAAAGAAAAAAATATATTAA